CCCCCCCAGGAGCCCCCTCCCCCCCCCCCCCCCCCCTCCACACACACACTCCCCACTCTGTAGCTAAAATTATAGGGATGCCCCGCATGCCTACCTAATTCTTATTAAGAGGGACTGTCCCTCTTTTAGAATCCAATCCCTCTGTCCCCCCTTCATCCTCAATTGTCACTCTTTTTAGACACATGTAGATTCCTTGCACACAAACCTTTTTATTATCAAACATAGTGAAGAATAAAGCTTTGTGTTCTAAGCCAATAATTGTATGCTTATTAAATACATTTCACCTCCCACTAACCACTGACACCAAGTCAACTTTACTTCCCACTAACCACTGACACCAAGTCAACTTTACTTCCCACTAACCAGTGACACCAAGTCAACTTTACCTCCCACTAACCACTGACACCAAGTCAATTTTACTTCCCACTAACCACTGACACCAAGTCAATTTTACTTCCCACTAACCACTGACACCAAGTCAACTTTACCTCCCACTAACCAGTGACACCAAGTCAACTTTACCTCCCACTAACCACTGACACCAAGTCAATTTTACTTCCCACTAACCACTGACACCAAGTCAACTTTACTTCCCACTAACCAGTGACACCAAGTCAACTTTACCTCCCACTAACCACTGACACCAAGTCAATTTTACTTCCCACTAACCACTGACACCAAGTCAATTTTACTTCCCACTAACCACTGACACCAAGTCAACTTTACCTCCCACTAACCACTGACACCAAGTCAACTTTACTTCCCACTAACCCCTGACAAGTCAACTTTACCTCCCACTAACCACTGACAGCAAGTCAACTTTACCACCCACTAACAACTGACATCAGGTCAACTTTACCTCCCACTAACCACTGACACCAAGTCAATTTTACTTCCCACTAGCCACTGGCACCAAGTCAACTTTACCTCCCACTAACCACTGACACCAAGTCAACTTTACTTCCCAATAACCACTGACACCAAGTCAACTTTACCTCCCACTAACCACTGACACCAAGTCAACTTTACTTCCCACTAGCCACTGACACCAAGTCAACTTTACCTCCCACTAACCACTGACACCAAGTCAACTTTACTTCCCAATAACCACTGACACCTAGTCAACTTTACCTCCCACTAATCAGTGACACCAAGTCAACTTTACCTCCCACTAACCACTGACAGCAAGTCAACTTTACCTCCCACTAACAACTGACACCAAGTCAACTTTACCTCCCACTAACCACTGACACCAAGTCAAGTTTACCTCCCACTAACCAGTGACACCAAGTCAGTTTTACTTCCCACTAGCCACTGACACCAAGTCAACTTTACCTCCCACTAACCACTGACACCAAGTCAACTTTACCTCCCACTAACCACTGACACCAAGTCAACTTTACTTCCCAATAACCACTGACACCTAGTCAACTTTACCTCCCACTAACCACTGACACCAAGTCAACTTTACCTCCCACTAACCACTGACACCAAGTCAACTTTACCTCCCACTAACCACTGACACCAAGTCAACTTTACTTCCCAATAACCATTGACCCCTAGTCAACTTTACCTCCCACTAACCACTGACATCAAGTCAACTTTACCTCCCACTAACCACTGACACCAAGTCAACTTTACTTCCCAATAACCATTGACACCTAGTCAACTTTACCTCCCACTAACCACTGACATCAAGTCAACTTTACCTCCCACTAACCACTGACACCAAGTCAACTTTACCTCCCAATACCCACTGACACCAAGTCAGTTTTACCTCCCAATACCCACTGACACCAAGTCAGTTTTACCTCCCACTGACCAGCGGCACCAGTGACACTAACTCCAACTGACCAGCGGCTCTGGGGCATTATAACCTTTCATTGACCAGGACACCAGGTCATGTTTACCTCCCAATGACAAGGAACACTGTTTTTTTTTTCCTACCACTGACCACCAACACCAATATGTGTATTGTCTAAACAGTAGCTGTCTTCAAGTAGTTTCCAACCTCACCCTACCCCTGAGTGCAGCCCACCGAAAGAAATGCCAACATCCTTAATCTCCCTATTTTCACTATGAGGCCCTGCCCAAAGTCATGAAGCATTGCTTCGAAAGGGTTCTCTTTATCCAGCACTGCAGTACCATTTTATTCTATGGGGGGGGGGGCGGTTGGCTTACTCATTTCTACAACCTCCAGCAGTCCTGCAGAATGTGGCTCCCTCCTCTGGAACAAATGGGGCCGTGGTGTACACATACAGAATAAAATGGTCCCACGAGAATGCTTTTTAAAGCAAAGCTGTGCAGCCCTGACTGTAAGGTTGCTGGATTGAGGATAAAGGTAAGTTTTTCTTCAAGTGGGTTACACTCAGGGAGGTGGGAGCACGCCTTAAAAGATAACTTTTACCATTTTACCAAAGGTAAGGCTCAGAGCATTGACTTTGTCTATATTCTGTTTTGGTTTTTAAACAGTCATCCTTTAGGTTCATATACGTCTGAGAGACTCTTTCTCAAAGCACAGTAGTTATGGAGTATTATATGGGAGCAGGAAATATGGCATATGTGTGCAGTATTACAGAGTAATTTAGCGGTGCCCACTTTTCACCGTTGTGCACACGCCACATATTTATTTCCTTCCAGGGTGTCCCGCTTTCTCAGGTTGTAATGATGGAATGTGTGAATGCACCCTCAGTAACACATTTACTACATCTTAGTTGGTGTACCCCAGTAGCTTTGCTTGTCAGAAAAACATACAGGTCTATTGACTAAAGGGTGAAGAGTTTGGAGAAGGCAGGAGAAGTGAACAATCTAGGACAAAATAGCCGATTTGGACAAATTCTCCAATTCAGCTCACTTTCCAGTTCAGCTATGTTATCCTAGATTGTTCCCTTCTCCTGCCTTCCCCAAACACTTCACCCCTTTGTGAATAGACCCCATATTTTTTACAAGACAAAATGAGAGAAATTTTAAAAACTTATCAAATGCCTTTGAAAACAAACTAGTGCTCTTTGCTTACTTGTTGACCTGTTTGTAAGCTGTAACTATTTTCTTTATAGGATCAGCAAGTGCCTACAAAATAATGAAAATATATTTCAATGTTAAGCATCTGAAAAAAAGAAACATGAGGAACAAGAGAGCAACAAATACATCTGAACATCAATATGAATCTTAGCAATTCTATGCAACTATCAAGATCATACACCTTACCTTGTGAAAAGCTCCACATTCACCAGCAAAATGGGGGCCAATACTTGGATATTGATGTTCTCGAGAAAGTGTGTCAACATTTCACCTGGTCAGTGCACAATTCTCTGTTAATAATTACACCTCTGTTTTCTTACCCAGATTTGAAAAACAATGCCCCTGGGACATTTGTCTTTTTACCATATACCTGCAGCAAAACTAGGTGGAAATGAAGAAAAAAGCATGAAAATAAACGAGTGCAGCCACCAGATCTAAGACTAGTAAGCTGCAATATATTATATATTTTTGTGTGTAAAGATACACTTTACCATGCATGCTTTTACATCTGCCATCAAGTTGACTGTCTTATCTGCACTATTGGTCTTTTATTTGCTGTCTTTGTTAATTTTCTACTACAATTGTTTATACTGAATACATATGAGCCTTGACCCATCAACACTATTGACACAAGGCCTCTTGCTCCACAGACAGGATGTGTGCTTTCACTGCATGCCTGATGCTGTACGTCTGATGGTTTGGATGGCAGGACGCAAACATCCACGACACTGACTAAAAGGGCACCAGCTTTTTTGGACTCTTACGAGGGAAAGCCTAAAGTCTAACCAGAACCGGAGGAAACTCAAAAGGATAGTAAACTACTTACATGGGTCTGACCGGTCCTTGTACACAGAAATAAATGCAGAACGAGCCATAGCAGTTCTTGAAAGGGCAAGAAAAATTCAGTAGGGCAGAGCTGTTCTCTTACAGATAGAGTGGCACAGCCCTCCTGGAGTACATGCTCCTTGTTGCACTGATGGTCACATTTAGAAGCAGCTCCATGGAACAATTAAGACACTTGTACTGCCGAACCAACGGCGCAATACAAAGTCCTCATCCAGTCCCCACTGTACATGATACCAACCCGGTTACTTCACTGGTACCAATGTGGTACCATTGGGTTCTATCCTAGTTTTCAGGGTAACAGCAAAAAACCTTCACCATTTTCAGGTTCCCACTCAACTCTATAACAGTAGCTTGTATGTACTGGTGGTTACTTCAGGGGTGTGGAAATGTTTAAAAAACCTACTTGTCCAAGGACTAAAGTGTCCCTCATGACAATCAACGTGTCGTGATACAAAAAATAATTTGAACCAAAACCGTATTTAACCGTGATAAGAAGTGCTTCTCATTGGTCAGTGCGGTCACCTGATGAGTGCTCACAATTTGCGAGCGAAATTCTAACACAGGGCTGCTCTGGAAGGCTGAATGGGGTACAGATAGTACACCCGTACCGGCAAAGGGGAAGAACTGTTCGCAGGAAGGTAAGTATAGCAGAGGTGGAGAGGGGGCCAGACTTGAGCGGGTAATTCCATTTTCCCAAATTGCTTGAGAAAGTGAACTTACCCTTTAATGCACATTGTGCGTGTTAGAGATTACTGCTGCCCAGCTACCACAATATGTCACACAGTGGAAGGGGGGCAGCACTCATCGCACACACACATACAATGCCCTCCATGTGCATTTATTCACACGCAGATGGCGGGGTGGCAGGGTTGGTTTTAATTTTTAATTTTAATTTATTTTATTATTTTACACATATAACTTTTTTATTTTTTATTATTTTTTGACTTTTTTAAAGTTGTATTTATTTTATTATTTTTCCTTTTTTTTATTCCTTTTTTTATTTTGTATTTATTTTATTATTTAACTTTTTTTTCCACTTAACTTTATTGCTATCACACAGGGGCTATCAAGGTACAAAACTTCTTTTTCCGCTCTACATTTAGCCCTGGTGCTTGCCCTCAGCAGAGCTAAATGAAACCAAAAAAACACCTGCCCAGCACCTGGGACTGCATGTCCTGGGCATTGGGCGATAGGGTCAACTATTTTGGCCTAGATTTTTTACTTTTCCTGCCTTCTCCAAACTCTTCACCGTTTTGTGAATAGACCTGTTTTTATATACCCAAAAATGTTGCTGAAGAAAATCTGCTAGAAAATGCCATTTGGTAAAATTTGTGGAGTTTGTGGAGAAAGCAAGAGGTTTCTTGTTTTCTTTTGCTGGGGAAGGTCGGGGGGATGGGAGGGTTTAAGGGTGAAATGGACTTGAAATGGGTACTAAGAGTTATGGAACCGCCATTCAACTATGATCAGTGAGTTCAAAAAATAGTCCTCTATTAGGCTCATTATTTTACAGAAAAACCAGATAGAACAAAGTAAACTAAAACATGTATAGATATGCACTACCATTAGCACAGAAATAATATCAAATGTTGATATTATTGTATAGCATCTGCTGTGCAGACCACAGCCCCTCCCAATCAAAAAATTGGGCCATACTGTGTAGCTGTATGTAGCCCCACGGAGTTCTCTCCTCTTACAGTGTATTTCCACTTTTGCAGACAAATTGGGATAACACCGATAATATATTTGCTACATGTTCTCATTAACGTAGCATAAGCTAAAAAAAACTAAATGAAAAAATGCTTCTTGCAGTTTAAATTGCTTTTACTTGGATTAGGGTTTCTTGGCCTCCAAAGGGTTCCATTTTATATTGCTTCTCCTTCTTTTGAATGTTAGGAGGGGCTGTGAGAGACTTCTCCATTGTATGCTAATGAAGTTAATGAGGGGAACACAAATCTCAAATTTCAGTCCTAACTCTTTCTACAACAACATTGCAAAGGTGTTGAGAAAAACCTGGATTCAGCCATGTTGCCTACTGCAACAAAACATCTAAAAGGTAAGAAATATATTTTAAAAAAATGGTACGCTGTGTGAATAGAAACACATAACAAACATATAGAAGGGTTTTCTCAAATGTAACTGCATAAGTGAAAATACATTTACCCGGAGCAGAAGACCTGTCAAAGTCACATGACCAAGCTCTACTCGAGGCTTTTTTTTCCAGAAAACTTTTGGCTTTGTTGCACTCTTCGGCTTCAGACTCTCAATGCCGGTGGAGTACAGAGCACATCTATAAAGCACATGGCTGTAATTTTTTTTCTAAATCAATGACACAGACAGACCTACATACCACCATACTTCCACCGTTTATTTGATCCTGTAGTGTTTTAAAGTGGCAAAAGTAGAGTTTTCAAATGTTAACCCTCTCAGTAACTTTAGACTTGTAGCGCCCCCCTAATCCCCAAAGGCGTGAAGTGGACCCCCAAGGGTAGATAGGGCGGACGTTTCACTCTCAGGGGCAGATCCTTAGCCAGTGAAGGGAAATGTGATAAAAAATTGGGCGCCAGTCACATTGAGTACCTTTTTGAGTGCTTTATTATAGAACAGCATAACTGGAGGGTGTAGGGCTTCAGACATCCATAGCAGAAATAGAATAGTTTTACCAATTTCTTCAGACTTCTACAGTGCAAAAATAATAGGAGCAAAGGCTCACACTGGGCAATAGAGCAACAACTTGTTGTGGAAATTTTATTAGGATGTGTTTTTAGTATATTGTATATGTGAATATTGTCATCATGTCTCTCAGTGTTAGGCTTGCTGGGCTATGCTCTATGGAGCGTAGCCGGGATTAATCAGCACTGAGTGTAAACCATTGGAGTGGATATCTTCCTGTGGATGCGGAGAAGCGACCACTGTGCTCAGGGATCTCCACCGGCGAATGGTCCATGTGCTATGCGCTGGGCTGTTGGCCGGGGGAGATTGATGTGCATTGCGGAACGGCGTCCTCTTAGTGAGTGTATGGACGCCAGCGAGAGCCCCTGCGTAATGCGAAGATTTATTCATTTGGCGTGGATGCATTTGCTTTGATAACGAGGTATCATTTGGATACATATCTGCCTTTATGAAAGGAACATACGCCCGTATCTTTTTGGTGCGTCTGATCAATGCATTGGAAATATAATGGCGTTGTCCCTGCAGATAAGCTCACATTCATGAGAACCGTAGTATAATCCTGCTAGGCATTGTTCACTGAATAATGCCTGGTAGAATTCGCGTCAGTAACGGGAGTATATGCGCGGGTCTGGTCAGAGCGGCATCCATAGCACGCTGATTCCTTTGTTGTGCTGTTTTGGCGGAAACTCCGTTGCACCTGGTTTAACTAGTGTGCACGGAATTCACATGCACTAGCAGCTGAGAGCTGTGCACGGTGTTTCACATGCACAAGCATATACTCAGTGGCGACTCTAGGAACAATATATAGGGGGGCACATAAGATACCACAGTCAGATCTGGGGGGGCACTAATAATTTTCATTGCATGTCGCAACCGATGGGCGCCGAGAGCTGATTTAATTGCGGATGGCATCTGCGCCCTGCAGTTGCGACAGAAGCTGCATACAGCATGTGCTGGTTACTACTTAAACTGGCGCGCTGTGTGGAGCTTAGTGCCCCCCCTTGCTCCCCTGTAGCGACGCCACTGCATATACTCCCCTTTCTATTGTCTATTCAAGTGTATACATGTGTCTCATTGGCTGACTCTGTGTTATGTTAATGTATTGAGGAATGGATTGGCTGTTGGGGCCAGTCCTTCCTTCCTGTTATCCCTTTGTGTGGTATAAATAAACGGATCTCAATGCAATAGATAGGACTATATACTGAACATCCAACGTGACAACAGCTCGTGTCTGTGTTTCCTTGGGACTGCTGAGCGCGCTCGATCAAATTATACAAAGAGAGCTGAGAACTGTGCTTTTTAGCGCAGTGGATTTGAATGCGCAGGAGCATGTAGGGTTGCCACCTTTTCTTCAAGCGAAACCCGAACACTCAATCGACGCGTGGACATTTTTTTGGGAGAATGAGTAGTGGCTTATTCATATATAAAAATTGCCGCCCATTCATATGTAAATATCACAGTTGAGACTATTTTCAGTGGGGGGCCAGTAGCCCCTATCTTCATTTTGGTTGCCTCTGTTTGCCTGACATCTTGTGTCCGGGTTTCTGCTGCCATGAAACCGGGACATAGCATTCAAAACCCGAACTGTCCGGGTGAATCCTGGACAGGTGGCAACCCTAGGAGCATGTATTAATTTCTATAACAAACTAAATAGGGATAGGCATGAGATCTTCCCTGGGAGAGACACCAGACTTGTTCCTAAGGGCCATATCAGCTGCTGGTACCTCCAACAGTCAGCCTTCTCTTTTTCAGCCAGTTCCTGAACCCACCTGGGTCCCAATGTGGCCTT